TGCTACTCTGTTCATTACTATATCTTCAAGACGCAGTATAGGGGTTTCACCTCAGGTTTCCTCTATCTCACATGTACTTCTCTAGTCTCCGGCCTCCTTTTCATTATGCTTGGTAAATCTCGCCATTTTTTTTTCCATAACTGTCCTTTTTATTTGTATTGGTGGCTCCACGTTCAATTATCCGTTTATTAGCAATTTTATCGTTTGTTTCCTGTAGGCTGACATATTTACATGAAATGATTAATAGAACTAGCAATGCTTTAGACGCTCTCTTGATTTGCAAATGGTCAGCGATGAGTTGTGATGAGTTCTTGTAGTCACTAAAATTGACTAACTGAAGTCTATTTTGATATGGCAGAAAACGAATTCTGAATCAAGGAAATGCTTGAACGTGTTTTTTTATTTACAGAGTGTAACTCGCGCTTGGATTAACCTAATCAAATAAACATGGTTGCGAACCCAGTATAGATTTCTAGTTAATTTACTTCCTCCTATATTGGAAATCTATGCAAAGCTAATCGTTCACTTCGTTGGTAATTAGGGATAGACTTTAAGAAGGCAGAAGTTGCCCGTTTAAATATGGCTCAATGTTAGGAGTTCGAAGTTGACTTCCAAAAAGCTAAACTTATGGACTTTCGGCGTTTTCACTATTCATTTTCTTTTATTGCCTTTGTTGCCCATTAAAATCGTTAACTCCAAAAGCATTTGCCAGTTGTTATTGCATTGTTTTCTTCATTGCAGGTAGTATAAGCTTCCTCTCATGCTTCCTCTTCACACGAAAAATCTACGGTGTCGTGAAGGTTGATTAGGCAAAAAAAAACACCGATCGATGAAAATATGTGAGAAAATGTTTCGCCTAAACATCAATCTAACCTCCTTATTTCCCATTATTATTGTTATCATTATCATTATTTGGAAATAAACATGTTACTGCTGCTACTGTGTATACTTAAGGTGCACTAACTCGAAATTAGAACTCGCTTTATGCAGGTGTAGTTGTTGTGCGAATATGTGGGGATAAATTGGTGCGTTTTTTTCATGCACCTCAAAGGTAGCGTAACGAGAAATAACTACAGTACTTAAAAGTAACACCCTTGTAAATCTTAGTAGTTGTCTCTTACTTTAATTTGAGTAAAAGTTATTTATATCAAATGGCAGGGGTTTTGATAGTTATCATTCCAGGGGAAGGAACATCAAAATGAAAATAGTCGACAGGGTTGGGAACAGAGTGATTCAAAGATGTAAAAGAGGCAGACAGACAGTCACAAAGGTAGAGGAAAGGTGAGGTGAGTACTGCGGAAGTTTTGGAATATGACATTTTTAGTGGGGTCATGGTAATTTGAAGTTAGAAGTCAACTGCCGGTTGGTGGACTTTTTGCCGTATGAGTATACGTTGACCAGGGTGTACTACGTAGAGGTAAGTCTATAGCACACCCCGGTCTATTAATGATTAGTAGGTTAAGTCTTGTTATCGATTTTATCTAGAATGCACTGTAACCTCCTCAGAACACTTAACAGCAGGAGTTCGTTTAAGTGACAATTAGTACACATCCATTGCTTTTATACCGCTGCCGGTAAATATAAACTTGAAAGAAATCGTACTTTAAGAAGACATTTATTTGTTTCAAATGGCAGGCGTTTTGATAGTTATCATTAGCCCTTTAGCTGACTTCGGGCTTCACAGAGGGAAGGAACGTCAAAGTAACAGAAAGTTTATGGGTGGGGAACAGAGGAGTGGTTTACAGTTGTAAAAGAGACAGACACAGAGGCAGAGAAAATGTAAAATGATTACTGTGGAAGTGGTAGAATATGGCATACAGTGGGGTGATGGTAGCTTGAAGTGAGAAGTCAACTGCCGAGTAATAGACTTTTTGTCGTATGAGTATACGTTGCCCAGGATGTACCACGTGGAGGTAAGTCTATCGCACACCCCTTTAAGATGACATAAACTAAGCGAAACAAGAAAATCGTAGACTATTCTCTTGATCTCCTTACGGTGGTCTCAATTAAGCATATTCTTGCTTTTTTGTTCGTTAGAAAGTGTACTCACTCTCCGCGCCTTATCAGGAGCCAATTCAACCTGGACGAACTTGCTATCTCTATACCTGGCGTTTACCATCTCCTGAAAACGTCGCAACATGCACCAAAGTGGATGCAGCGTGTTTCCGCCACACAAATCAGACTTTGGGATTGCTCTTCTCCAAGCCAATCTCCAAGGTACGCTCTAGACACACATACGTCTGTAACTTTAGTCGTCTATGTGTGCTTGGTTGAAGTTATCTCTCCAATTTATTCAGAGTGCGGTTGAGTTAGATCCGCTTAGGTTTTCAAATTGCTATAACGGAATGTGGCAGAAGCCAGTATCCAATTTTTTTTTAATTGACCGGAGACAAATTTGCAAACATTTTGTGAATGTGTCTCGGACATTTCCTTTTTTGCAATTACTGTATCCTTTCTCCACAATGCAGATACATCTCCTCCTCCTCCACCCCCCCCTCTCCCCTTATTCTAGATTGAAGCATCTTTTAGTAGAATGTACATCATCGGTGGGTCTGATGGAGCGGCCTAGTTTGGAGCCATGACTGCAAGGTGCTTGAAATTACACATAAATGACTCTGGGGGGTAACGCGTCTTGAGGAGGAGGGGATCACATTTTGGTCTACTTCGTTAATGATGAAAGATAGAGCGAGGTCATTACTACTCGAATCAACGTGCCGCAGACACTACAAACACTGAATATATATACATATATATATACATTGAAATTGTGGAAGGAGTTTCGTTGTAACGCAATTGTCAGTTAAAGGTGTACTGGAATCTGCTCTCATTTGGTTCCCTCTAACATTGCAAATGCTAGTTGGAGGGTGGAGCTAGATTCAAGTTAGACTCTTTTCGTCAAAGATGTAAGAGGTGGGGGTGGGGAGGTGGGGGGGGTGGTGCTGTTATGGGCGGTATAGAAACTTGTCCATAAATACCTAGTTCGAAGTTTTGTGACTCGCTTTAAAGGGAATGTTTAAGACTAGTTGTTATCAAGAAATTTCTTCGGGGTAAGGCAGGGTTAGATGTCAGGACGCCAAGTTGTGTATGGGATTGAAAGAGTGAACAATGAACCGAGACCCTACCTCTCTGCATCAGCATGACGTTAGGGGA